AATAATAATAATAATAATAATAATAATAATAATAATAATAATAACAACAACAATCACCATAACCATAGTTATAACAATTATAATTATTATAATTATAATAATAGATTTAAAAATGATTCAACTTTAATTAATATTTTGTTAATGATTATTGTAATAGCACAAGTAATCTTAATTAAAATATTATTTTTTGATCACCCTCATCGCACTTCAACAGCAACATCTTCTTCATCGCCATCATCACCACCTACCACTAATCCAACTACTTCAGTCGCATCAACAACTTTACCTCATAATTCTCCAGATTTTACTTCTCAAATAAGAGATACTACAACTGTGACAGTTTCTACAATTGCAACAAGTATCATTATTTCTACAACCACTATCACCACTACCACCACCAAAACTACTACAAAAACTTTTAATAATCTAGTTGACAAGAATGTCTGCTATCCATTAGATTTATAAATTTATTTGATTTTTTAATTTTTTAATTTAATTTTTAATTTAATTCTCTAATTTTTAATTTCTAATTTCTATTTAAATAAAAAAAGTAATTCGTATAAAAATATTTGCACCGTGTCCCTCCAATCCTCTCCTTCCTATTGTCAATTATTTTTAATTGGTTATTTTTTATTCAAAAATATTAATACAATTACTGCTGCTACTACTACTAAAGTGAATATTATATCAATTATAAATATCAATTATCTCATCTAGTCCATTCATCGAGTTAATAGTCTGTACTGCACATTTCTGCTTTCCGAAGCCAGAGGACTAATATAAATAACAAATTAAATAATCATTTGCAATTTTAAATTTGATAAAAATTATTCAATACAGAGAATCATATCCAATCTTATCAAATGGCAAGACTTATTTATTTACTTGCGTGTGATTGCAAATTATTAAATTATTGGAGAATTCTGTATCATAAAAAAAAATGTTGGAGTCATTCACATTTCAGAATTGAAGTTATTAAATATTAATATTGATAATAACTTTATAAAAAATCCCTGTTAATCTGAAAACCTCCACTAATCCGAAGAAAATTTCTTGCACAAATGGCGGAAGTTGACTATGTATTCAGGAATGTGACCGAGAGGGTTTTTATAAGGTGTATGACTTTACAAGACGTGACTTTAGAGAGGTGTAATAATAAATTGTTTTATTTTAAAAAAAAGACCAAAGAAAAAAAATCCATGTGGTAGCTATTGGTCATCTTTCTCAACTTCAATCTCAATCTTTCCTTCCTTTTGTTGCCTTTTTATGGATCTTATTGATAAAGTATCAATATTTTCTCAAAGAAGATTGAAGACTTTAACTCTTCTAAGAGTTCCAAGGAATTCTCTTGTTCTTTTATGTCATTTATCATAATTGGTAATAGTTTAGCTTTGGTTTCCTTTTGAATACGCGTCAGTTATCTACAAAGCCCTTAAATGTAACCTACAGAAATAGTCCTATTATTTGTAAAATTGTGCATACTAATACAAATGACATTACTCAATGCGGTTTTTACCTTTGTACTTTTTCCTCTTGTACATTGAAGTTTTGTGGATGAATCCGTACAGTCGCAAAATAGTTGGTCGTTATTGTTGAAACAATTTCTGCAGTTATCAATCAACATCACAATAACATCGGTATCTAAAAGGGTTAGAAAGAACACGATGATTAAATATCCAATAAAGCCTTTAAAACAAATATTCTTACATTCAGGGTACTTTTATGTATTGTGCGTTGATCGGAAGTCAATGTATATAAGGAAGAGTTGGCTTTGACAAAAAATTTCACTCTATAGTACAGTCACAAGTGGTGACTAAAAGGAGCTTTACAGAACAACTTTAACATCAACAAAAACTCATCATCAAACTTTAGTGATTCATTATGATTATAATGCATTCTTTTTTTTCTTTGTTTAGTAAAGCAAGCGGAATTCATATATAATCAAAGTAAATCGGGAAAACCTTCAACTTCCCTATATTGTACGATTTAATATAGTAGGTTCACTACATCAACACCAACTGTAGTTTGAAGCATCATTTTTTTGATTTTTCTAGAGAACCCAATCGCATGATTTTTTAATAATGCTTTTAAAATAAAATTTTTTAGCAACATGTTGTCAATTCGCAAATTTATCCCTTTTTTAAAATAATAATCTAAACAAATATTGCTTTGATAAAAATATACATTCGTATTGTGATTCAACAAATGGAGTCATCGTATTATTGTCACGAAAACCTTCACTCTACGAATCAAATTTGTTTTCAAAGCAGCAAAAAATAATCAATGCCTTTATGAAAAAACTTACCTGAATCAAATAAAGTCACCACCTACCCAAAAGTTTCGGTCACCCTAAATTGATGAATTGCGCAGAAGCGTACATAATAATTGCACAAAAAATTTATATTATTTTGATCCTAGATATCCATGTACTTAAATATAAAATTTTAGATTTCTAGCCTTTATACAGCTCAAATAATAATAAAAAAAACAAATTTCGATCATTTTTGTAAAGAAAAAAATTTGACATGAAAAATTTTAAAAACCTACATATTAACATATTATGAGATTTTTAGATGCGATAATCTAATTTCATCTAATTCTCAAGAAAAATTTTTTTACATTATTTTGGATGGTTTTTTTTTTAATAATTTTTTAAAGATTTGATAAAATCTTAAATTTCGTAAAATGTCTAATTTAACTGAAACTGAGCGTGGTCAAATTATTGACCTCCATATAGGCGGCAATTCAAAAGTGAAAATTAGCAAATTCTTGGATTTTCTAGAACAACAGTTACTCGAACTATAAAGAATTATGAAATAAGAGGTAGTGTCAAAGACTTAACTCGAAGTGGTCAACCAAAAACATTAAATAATGACCATCAAAAAGTATTGAAAGCAATTGTCAAACAAAACAACATTGAATCAGCTGAAATAATAAAAAAAGAATTTAATCAGAAAACTGGTCTGCAAATTTCAATTAACATGTTTAGAAGAAGCCTGCATGATCTTGGCATTTTTTCTTGTGTTCCAGCATGTAAGCCTCTTATTAATGAGGGACACAGACAAAAGCATATGGGTTGATGCTTAAGAAGAAAAGATTGGAGTGTAAAAAAATGGAAAAAATGTAATATGGAGTGATGAAAGCAGGTTCACCTTGTTTAGAAATGATGGCCCAGGTCATGTTTGGAGGACACTTGGAACAAGGTTTGATATTGAGAATCTAAGACCTACAGTCAAACACAGAGGTGGTAGTGTAATGTTTTGGAGCTGCTTTTCTTGAAAAAGGATTGGGTCCACTTGTAAAAGTTGATGGGAAAATGAATCAACATGATTACATTGAGATACTCCGATCTTATTGTTGCCATTAATAAACAATAGTTTTAATAATTGAGGTTATCTGTTCCAAGATGATAATTCACCAGTCCATACTGCCAAAAAAGTTAAAAAACAAACGAAATAAAAATCTTAGAAAGTTGTCCAAGCCAGTCCCCAGACCTAAATCCGATTGAACACTTGTGGAGTGAATTAGAGACTCGTATTCGAAAAACCTAAACCAGCAAGAAATTTCAATGAATTAGAGACCACTATGATTGAAGAATGGAATAAAATTTCATAACATTTACTTAAAATTAATTGAAAGCATGTCTTGTAGAATTGCAGAATGCATTGCAAACAATGGATGGCCTACTAGCTACTAATTGATAAGAGGCTTGCTGTTGAAAATTTAAGCCATTTTTAATTAAGGTTTCTGGTCCAAACTGTTTTCTCAAAGCCCAAACTAGTTTGGGCAATTTGGGCTTCTCAACATTTTCTA